TTCGTCCAGCTAGTTCTGAAAACGTAAACCAAGAGAAGTAACCGTCCTCTCTCACCGTTCATCGAGTGCTGAATCGCGTGTTTTAGAATCTCTAGAATTTCGAGAAGAGAGAATGTTCGATGGGAACGATCGAGCACAACTCGTTAACGAAATTCTGTATTCTAAATTAAAAAAAAAAGACTTGCGTTAATTACGGCATTTTTACTGCAATTTTACAAATATCAAAGTCTAAATTTTTCTAATAAGGGAGAATTATATCTATAAATGCGATAGAAGCTTTATTCTGAATAAAAAATTCGAGCTTCATAAAAGCTGCTTATCAGTTTCTCTCGAGCATTACACCAGATTTACATTAAACTACATTGATCCAACAAACAGATCCACATTTAACACGAGCACGTTCCCACTCGAACGTAATACTGGGTCACAGAATAAGCAGTACAGAAGAAAAAGGATAACAGAACGTTCGACAATATCCGGATAACAAAAGTTGGAATAATAGAGGCAACGGTTAAACTGTACACATCAGGAATATCGCTCGATCGACACACTCGTCCCCCTTCAAATAATCCTAGGGTGCCTCGAAATCCCTCGATCTCCATTTATCTCTCTCGTTTCCACCTGGCTAGACTGTCCCAGGTTAGCCCCAGTCCAGGATTTAACCAAGGATCGAGATCGAGATTTTCCTCTCGAACATATACACGCTTTTTTTTTTTATTTTTCAGCTGGAGCTGCTGATCGAGGCCGCCGAAGAAGAGGCTGAGAAGAAGATTCGAAGGAAGAAGAAATAGAAAGAGAGAGAGATCCTCTCTCACACAGAAATCGGGACGCGTGAAAGGGCTTCCGGCTGCATTCAGGCATCAGAAGAAAGAGAGAATTAACGGGTGAACGAGGGAACGAGGTCTCCTTTAAGATGGTGCGTGCGCGCGCGTTGCGTGGCCGATTATGAATGCGGATTAACCTTCATTCAGACTCGGCTCAGGATCTATTCAACTCACCGCCATACCAAAACGGCGAAACAATGACGGCCGTACATCTTCGTTCCTCCTCGTCCAGGTTCCTTTCCACCGTTATCCCTCCCCCTCTCTCGCTGATTTATATCGAGGAGCCGGCTTTTGAAGTTGCGCCCGGACAGGCCGCTATAAATTTGCACCACCCGGCCGGGGACCGATTCGACGCTTGCCTTTCGCATCTCTAAACCCAGCAAATTGGTTCTACGTTGTTAATTAAGATCGCGTGACGCACGATTGTGACGTGACTCCGCGTCGATATTTCTTCATCCTGCGTTTACGACCTAATAAATATCGCATTTTTCGCGGGAATCGATTAAGCGATCGATTAAGCGCGAAATTTGAATCTTAGCAAATTGCCATCCAAGAAGATATCTCCGCTAATAGTTTACTTATTACATTTTATTTATGTATTCGATAAAAAAATTTAAAAAATGTCAATGTGACGTATATAATCCAATATATTCCTCTTACAAATTCAAATTTGCAAAGTTTCGATTCACTTGATACCGTTTCGAACGTAAATCTCGTTTTTCTTTTTTTATCTTCACTAATACTATCTCTATTATTTTTAGGTATTCGATAGAAAAATCTGATATAAGCATTTTATAATCTCCTCTTTTATTTTCACTATACTTTCTTTTTCCCTGTTACATATATTTAGTCTCCAAAATATACGATAATGTAATGTGATATATATAATCCAATATACTCCTCTTACAAATTCAAATTTGCAAAGTTTCGATTCATTTGGTACCGTCAAGTTCTTGGTTTCGAATGTGGGTCACGATCCAAAATGACACCGAGGCGAGGATGTCGTTTTTCTTTCTTTCTTCATTTTTCTTTTTTTTTATACAAACGACTTAACCGACCACTGGATGGATACTCGTTGACAGTCTCGAGTATACGAGAAGCGTGTATAGAAGAGCGAAACGAGGAGCGGAGGCGACAGCTCGCATCGTTCAGCCGGCAGTGGCTATTTCCACGTGGACGCGACGTGGAAACGAGGGGTCGAAAAAGAAGGAACGCGGAAAAGGGAGAGAGTAAAACGGGGAGGCGTGCAAATTCGCGTCGAGCCACTGGCTTGCCCATAATATTTCACCGGAAGACGGCGAGGAGAGATTGATGATCGCCGTTGGGCCAGGGCGCGTCGTAACACGCGTCGCTTTCTGTTTCTGTTTGGATTTGAGCGGGTTATTAACTTCGAATCGAATTAACGTGATGGGTGATTCCCACGGGATTCGTCGGTATAAGACCACGGCCTTCTTCTAATTACCGATATCTCTTCGATTCTTTGAAACTCGAAGAAGATTCTCTGTCTCCTAAGGGGACAGATGATATTTTTCTTCGCTGGATGTTGATTGCATTTTGTCAGTGAGATTGTTCGATGTAAATTTGTAACCAAGCGTTGGCTTAAATAAAATTGTGAGTATTTTTGAAAGCCTGGAGCATCGAATAAATTTTTAACGAATAAAATTTTGAACTTAAAATTTGGACTCTGATCGTTATTGAAATTTTTATTTATCGGACAAATGTTTTGAGATAAATTTTATAATGTGTGGTATAGAAGTACAAGTAAGAATGATTTATTTATTTTGGAATTTTGAATGGACAATATGAATGATTCGTTCGATAAAAAATGAAGAAAAGAATTATTCGTTGATTTCCTTTTTTCAGGTTAATTGTAAATATCAGCTCGCCAAATCTGACAATAATTGATTGTACATCATGGAAACTTAATTATGGGAAAGTTACTTAACCAAGGGAAGAGTTTCGGAAGGGAAACAGAGAGTGGAAAGCCGATATCAACGAACAGTGACGCCTATGCGGCTTTGATCTCGATGATCTTTGATCTAAATTGTCTCGCAGATCAGTTTCTCCTCTGTGTTGACGAGAGGCAGAAGTCAGGCAAAGAAAATAATTATTCTCGTTATAACAGTAAGGATAACGATACGTCTAACGATACGCAACTTCAAGGATATCAAGTTTTCGATGCGGAACGATGGTTTTCGAGTATATATTCGATCAACCATGTTAATTAAAGGTTTACGCAAGTATGATTTCGATAGAGTCGAATGTTCTTTTCTTTTTACTGGGATAATCGTCATTCAAGCGAATATCTTGATTGTAATCATGCTTGGAATTTGTTAAACAATTCTGCACGAGAAGAGAGAAAAAGTTTTTTTAAGAACAGAGGATATAGATATTGATTGATATAGAAAAAAATTAAAGATAAATTTTTTGCAACTTTTTGCAAGAAATTCCATATCTAAAAATGTACATTATTGTACTTTTAGTATAAAGAAATATACTAAAATGTGATATTATAAATTTATAAATATAACAAAATTTGAGAAGATTTAAAAATTAAAAAATTTAAAGATTTTTATCATATGATATTTAAATATCAGATGATATTTTAAATAGAATTTATAAAATAAATATATCATAAAATTTTTGTATAGGTAGGATAAGGTAAGATAAAAATTAATCGGTTCATTTTTTGTATATGAAATACATTATAAGCAAATTATTTTTCAAAAGTATTTATTATACATAAAAATTAATAGAATAATTTAATAGAATAGTTTCTGTTAAGATTTTTAATTAATAAGTTATACAATAATAAAATTAATTAGAAATCGGTACTATATACTTTTATACGCATAAATGTATAAAGAAAGATAAAGAAAACAGATAGAGGAAGAAGGACAGAGATAGAGTAAAAATATTGAAATCAGCGCCATCTCTAGAGTGCCGCAAATGAACAATAGAAATAAAGGATAGAAGATAATGGGAAAAGGATAGAGATAGAGCAGAAACGGTACTACTAGCGCCATCTCTTGGTCTCATTCCAAAACAAACAAGTAAGTTTTTAAGGCAACAGATGGCGCCATGTGTTCTAAAAGTGGAATTCTCGATGTTACATTATCTTTTTTTTTCTATTATTCTTTTATTTGTAGTTCCTTGTCTATACTTTTTAATTGTTTTTCGATTCTTGATTCACATGACTAAAAATTATGCCAATAACGGAAGAATTTATTTAAACAATATAGAAGAGAACACGGACTAAATGTAAAATTATATTGTGTCAAAAAGTATGTGACTTACCGTTCGTAGAGTAATACATTGACGCAATAATAACTTCTCAACTATCAATAATCGATAAGTATGTCGACATTTAATGCGTAAAGCTGTTATAAAACGCAAATAAATATAATAAAATAGCTATATTTTAAATAGAAAATTTGCACGCAATTTCAAATTATACATGAAATTAAACAGCTTTGATATTTAAAGAGTGAAAGAATAAGACTATGACTTTTCTCTATCAGGTAACCATATCTTGGCAAAAACGAATGTTACGGATATATCAATAACATTTGTCCAGGATTCAAATAAGTATTTTAAAACTTATTTATAAAATATAATTTCTTTTTATAATTTTTAATATCTTATTAATTTTGTAATTTATCGATGGGTATATGATTTATAATACAATAATTTATTAAATTTATTAATTCGATACAAAAATTTTATCAGCAATAACTTATCATTTATTAATTTTAGAAATATCTTTGTATGTGATAGAAAATACCGCAGTTATTAATCCAATTTATAAATTTTTATTTTGTTCAATGAATTTTTTGAATGTATGAACAATAATCGATATATATATAATTTATTTGTTAAAGAAAATTATTTAAAAGACAACAATAATTCTAGAATAGCCACAAGTTACATTGATCGATAGCGATCAAGAATAATCACTACGAAATAAAAGTTTTATCTTGGAAATAGAAAATAATTATTGACAATATATTATGTGCACAACAATTATGACTGAATATAGATTTTAATAATAACGTTAAATATTAAAGTGTTTGAATATTGAAGACAAATTTTTTTAATCACTTTAATTTTCATAAGTAATCTTTATCGATGAAACTTAATTAATTTTCAGTCACGATTCTGATATTAAAATTGAACAAACAGATATAAAATTTTCATACGACATTCATACGAGTAAAATTATATCTTGACATTAAATATAGTCATGAATTACGTTCGATAAGCAAATATTGCTTATATAATTGATTGTTTTAATGTTCACGTTCAAGTATATAAGTACATATGAGTTCAGATTTAATAAAAGAACGTAGGTTCGAAAGAAGGTGTCGAAAAGAAACATGAAAAGTGTGAAATTATTCATCGGGAGGGTTACCCTCACATTAGTATTTATTTATATTGCTATGGTTGTATCTGCTCCTGATGCAAATGAGGTAATTATTACAATATACAATCTGGGACAAAATTACACGATATTTTTCCGGCTTATTTCATGATTTCAAAAAAATCACTTATTTTTTCGTAAGTATTCTATCATTTTCTTATTTAAAAAAAATGGTTAAAAAAATTAATATTAATTGATATATATCATTAAACAAAGAATTATTTTATGTGGGTACGTATATAAAATTTAGATAAAAAAATTTTAATCTGGAAAAATATTGAAAATCATTTTATCTTGGATTATAGTTTATTTTCGTTTGATATTATCCGATTTGATATTATAATAAAAAGAAAAAATAAATTTTTTTTTTCACAGGACATCGACTTATATCTACGAGACGTTATGTAATATAACTGAAACGAGGATTGTTTGATCATATTTGATGATTTATATATATTGTTATCCATTTGTAGACTTAAAAATGTAATAAATGTAGTTAGAGTGAAATTTTTTAAATTTATACATCTATTTAAAAAAAATTATGATATAACGATACAATATTATTTAATATATAATATTAAGCAGCACATCTGAAAACTTGAATAACTTAAAATTTAAAGTTTAGATTGAGTTTTTATTTCAGTTTTCAATATATATACATATATAATACAATAATTTAATTTTTACATCTCGCCTGTCATTCCACGTATACTTACAATAAAATCTTATATTGTGAATCGTTTTTTAAATTTTGATAAATTTTATATTCTGCACTCCATATTCCCCCACGAATGAAATAAACTCGCCAACTCGTTCCACAAGCGGAATAGTCTGTGGAAACGAACGAATACACACGTGCATTGAGCAAATATTTTTAATGTACATACAGTAAAAAGAGAGCATCGATTCTAAAATGAAAATATACATAAGCGTACTAAAATCAAATATGCGTTCCCCGGCGGACGGGAACTATCGTTACATTAAATTTTTATATACGGGGAAATCTTTTTAAAATCGTATTTCTTTCGTTGATCCTTGAAAAATGTCTCGTGACTCGCAAAATATAAAGACGCATCCGAATATCCGGCTTATATCGTTCGATTTCACCAACCATCGTCCACGTTTTACGAGGCGACGACTGACAAAAAACACGCGCGTATCCGCTTCCTTCTCGCGAATTACCGTTCCAAGATAAACAGGGTACAGGCCAGTCATTATTCTCGTAAACGTTGTTACAAACGAGAACGATCCAGAGATCTCAAAAGAAAGGAAACCAATTGGAAACCAAAGGAAATCAATTACAGAAAGAGAGAGAGAGAAAGAGAAAGAGAGGAAAAAATAGCTGTTTTTTTGTAATGAATTTTCCTCCTTCTTTTTGAAACGAAAAATTAAATTTCGATTAGGGCTTTAAAATTTATTATCACGCCATGTGATAGACGACACAGGTGCTAAGCAAAATGCTCGTCTAGGGATTTTAAATCGTCTACGTGCTTCCACCTCGGTGATTTTCCTTACCTATCACTGCTTCTCTCTCGGCTCCCTTTCTTGAACATGTGATATCTTGACTATGTGGAAATCAATTATCGTTGAGGGAAACCACTTAATATTCATGTATTCTTGTGAAATGTAAACGGAAACGAATCGAACGATGTATATTCTTCGATGAGAAAAACTTTGGAAAAAATTTCTCTTCTCAAAATTTTTCCAAATTTTATTATTAAATTTACTTTTACCACTCTGCTATTAAGATAGAATATTATTTTTAAATCTTAAGCAGATGATTATCTCTTTGCAATAATATATTTCAAATAAGCATACTTTAAACAATTTTTCATTAAATATTCAAATAAATTAAAAAAACATTTATATTTTTTATTACGCGAAGATGATCCGACATCCAAGGACGATGAAATTCTCGAAATCTTTGAGAGAAATGATTGATTTCTCAGTTGATGGATCAAATCCATCATTCCTTCGAAATTTAAACACGTGTTCGGTTAGTTTGCTTTGGAGAGCGGATCTCGAAAGGAGGAAGAGGAATTACGTGACATCCGCATCGTCTATTCGAAAATTGATTTTGTTGCACGTAACTTACTACATGCACTTGTTCGAACAAGAGGGTGGTTAGATTCGTCGAAACGTTTTCGTATTTAATGGCAGAGCGTATACGTTCGCCTACGAGTTCCACGATAGATTCTTATTTGCCAGTGAATTCTCAAGAGTAGTTGGCAATTAAAAGTTTCTCTGCGGAACCCTTCATCGTGGTTTCACCTCGATGCTTGTTGCCTCGAGCCGTCGTGGAAACGACGACGTAACAAAGAGATTTGTTGAAAATATTAGCGAAATTCGAGACGACGAAGAATTCTTGAATACAGCGATGAATACAACAAATTTCTATCGATGAATCATTTCTCCTCGATTTATCTCGTGATTCACCTTCGACACGTCACCGAAAAAATATCGGGCATCTTATGTTACGTCATATGTACTAAATACCGATATTTATTATTATTTATGGAGCATCTTCGAAGAGGAGAGGAGGAAACATTGTTTCAGCCTACGTTCTACGCTGTTTGAATAAGAGTCAGCAGAGGGTTTTCCAACTTCTGTTTACGCTCGCGAATTCTATGTACGTTATATGTACGTTGCACCTCTCTTCTTCTAAATTCTTCGAAAAGATACCTCGTGAAAATGGACGACGACCGATAGGGAACATCGAAAATTCGACGATCGTTCCCGTGTCTGCGGTATTTTGAATTTTAACGCGAACAACCAGGTCACGAAGGATGGACGAAGGAAGGAAGCAAAGAGGGGGAAAAGAGGTTGACAAAGAAGGAAATACGATAAGATAAGAAAGGAAGGGACATTCGAAAAGTTTTCGAATCAGAATACAAGATACGATCTTTGGCGATTTTTAACCTGGTTTTCTATTAAAGTCAGAGGGATGTTTCTTTTCTACCACTCACCGATGAGATTATATTATAACTAAATAGAATAACTTTCGAATTTTTTAATATTTTAACAAAAAAAAATTGTATCTTCATGATAATATAATCGGATTCTGAGCAAATAGATATTTTAATCAGAATTTAATTCTAATCCGCGATTTTCGACGAAGAATAGAATCTTGAAAATGATATTTTAATAAAAGAACATCAGAATCAGGATTTTCAAAATCTAACTCTTTTAGCATTTCGAATTGATAAAATATTCGAGTAAATTTATTAACGCTGCAAAATTTCCTCTCTTTTAAATTTCTAGAATCTCCCGAATCGTAATATGTAGCATTCTTGATATGCAATCGTAATACTTCCAAGAATATTTCAATCTCGATAAATCTTCCACCCAATTCAATCGAATTTTCGAGTTCTCTACACTTGTAACCATTATCCAATGTAATAAAATCCTATTTTGTTGCAACTCGATTTGAAACGTAAATCCGTGGATCGAATATTTGACATTTACTTACCTGATATACGATGATCCTGTATAAACAAACCAGTTTATTCGTTAAACGACACGGTTGCACGATACTCAGGATTGAAAAGTGGACGTGGTCCGAATCATATCGTGGAATTGTTACCCTTAACAGGGATCCCCGTAAAAATTGGGCCGCTAAGGGATGTCGTAAAGAAGATATATCCGCCCCTCATCCGGAGGAAAGATAAAGGATACGCAGAAATATAATCGCCGTTAATCGTCATCTAGCCACGACGAAGCGTTTGATAAATGGAAGAAATCGATCGAATATCGCTTCTGTGGCTTTATTACCACGATGAAACGCGGCGACGAGGAATCCCTCTATTCGATCGCATTGTTGCGGCCATCTCGAATCGACCCTCTTTTATTTCTTCATTAGAACGTTTGAATTGGCGTGGAAACGATGACCAATAACGACCGATATTTCAGGGAATGATGGTTCAAGGAAACGATTGCAGGATTGCAACACAGGAGAATGTTCGATTCGTTCTCTGTTTGGACGATTTTTCTTTTCCACTTCGAAATTAATTCGAGGAATAAATAGTTCACGAATGCAATCAACACTTTGGAACTGAACGTATTTGTTAGATTTGTCAGAGTTAAGTTTCGAAGTTACGCAGTAGTTATAATTATGTACATTTGATTAATATATTATTCATATATTATTCTCTGGGCGTATGCGTTGTTAGTGTGCTTTTAATATTGATTTTCAATTCACTAAGCGGAACGTAATTATTGAATGAAACTCCAAATGTTTCCAACGTTTCCTTAACAAAATGTTACTTGAACCGTAAAGAAGTTAAATCGATCAATATTTCGGATTAACGGATTTGACATTTGAAAATTGAATTACACGTACGTAACACGTAAAATGCACGGTTCGAATGCACGTGAATTTGAAATCGCAACGCCGGCGCCAACGTTGGAACGCCAGCCAGGCATTTCCATAAATTTTGAAACGGGAATGGTTCGGAATCGAGGGCCCCTCCCGCGTAAATGTAAATACATATCCACCAAATCCCTCCCTCTCTCTTTAATCATCGACGCGCCAGTTTCTCCGGAGTGTATATCGGAGATTCGTGGAACAGAATTGGCGATAGGTTCGCGCGAGGAGCATTCAATTTCACTCGAGTATCTCCAATCAGATTCTCGAGAGTCAACATTCCGTTCCACCAAACCCACTCGATGGACCACAGGAACAAGGCTAATTCGATTTCGGCGTAACGCGGCTTACCGTCGACCTCGCCATACGTGTGCCTCAACGTGTTACCATATATCATCGGATACAAAACGTGAAACTGAATTGACAAATTGCCAGGAAAGAAAATCCAATATACGTGTTATACTTTGACTTATGATCAAAGGTCATAATTTGAGAGATACAAGCTTTCCTCTAATTTTTCAAAAATACGTGTCATTTCGTTCCACGTCATGTCCAATATCTATGCTTAAACTCTTGCAATGTTTTTAATTGTCCATAATCGGATAAATATTCTTTTTTATATTCAGAATGATACATTAAGGTTTTCGATTGTGTTCGAGATAAATTACATTTTTTTTTTTTGTAATTGAAAAACAATCTTTCGTAAAATCGATCGTTTTTCACGCGTAGGTGTTCAGCCATAAGATTTTTAAGTAAGGCAAAAGAAAAAAGAAAAAAAAGAAAGAAAGAAAAGGGATCGTCTAATTTTGGCAAAAACAGAGCCTTACCTTCGATCTTCGTTCCGCGACGCAACGCAACGCAACGTTTGAGAGACGAGGATTTATCGAACGTAGGTGTGTTGGCCGGTCGTGTTGTTCGTTTATTATGCTAGCTGGTTTGCCTGGCTTATATTGTGCCGGGCAGCGTTGTAAATGCGCGGCTGGCTCTGTTCTTCCATCCACCGCCCGTTACAGTTTCCTTCCTCCAGCCTCCTCAGTTCCCATTTTCTCAACCACTCACGACTCGCGTAGGTGCGCCGTGTACGCTGTTCGATCCCCAATCGCGAGTTTCGGCGCGGATGCAAATTACCGTGCGCGAGATGTAGTTTTCGAGTCGACAGTGAGCTCGGTTTACTCTTTCGATCGATCGTTCTCACCGCGCGCCTTTATCTTTATTTCGCCTTCCTCCACGAATGCGGCTCGAGTGTAATTCGTGCAAATTCGTGTAAAACAAAAAAGGAAAAAAGAAAAAAAGACGAATGTCTCTTGCTTGGTGCGATCAAATTGGAGACAAGAGAGATCACGGGATGACTGTATCCGAGAATGGATCCACAACAGAGATGGTCTCCATAAACTCGGCCAGAAGTTCCAAGGTGATTACATCTTTCGAAGGATGAACTCGAGATTCTTCTGCGAAGATCGTAGTGCGATTTCTATGATTTCTTCCACATGGACGTATACAGTGATTCGTATTTTTCTTTCTTCTTTTTTTTCTTCGTTATATTATTTTCTAATTAAGGCTGGTATAAATTTTCCCATTGTCTCTCTTGAGGCGTAGGGAGTTGTTCGTTGTAAAAGTTTTTTAAGGGGCGGTGTTCCCCTCGTACGGAGGGGAGGGAACGAGAGAAGAAAACGGAGAACGTTCGAGAGAGCGTTTTGTCGTGTACGATAAAATGCGGATGTGCATAAGAGCATTCGTCTCGTTGCGAGGTGTCTTTTCAATGATTCGCGTCGTCGTTTGAATCGAGATCGAAAAAAGAAAAAAAGAAAAAAAAAAAAACGCATACGCTTCGATGATCTCGTGAAATCTCGTACCTATCAAAGGGGACGTTTTCATCGTTGAAGATTATTTAAATCTGTCAGAAGAGGGTGATCTTACGTACGATGATCAGGGGCGCGGTGCCTCTCAGATCGAACTCGACCTCCTCGAGGAACACCCTGAATATTGTCACGACCAGGGTTAGTCAACAATGATATTTACACACGATTATATTTATACAGAGTCTCGAAAGGATATTCTCTTTATCTTCGCGCGAAATTATCGGTGTATACATGTAATAATAATTTTCAAAAGGGCAGAGGGTGTGGTAAAAAGAGAATTGGACGTTTTATTCGCGATACGAAATTTAGCACAGTTCCATTCCACACTTTACGGTCCCACGCTTCCTTACCCGATGCCTTGAACTTTTCCAATCATCCGTGTTAAACTTCTCCGCAACATCGAAGACGGATGGACAACGGTTTTTCGCATCGATAGTTCCCATCCGTGCACTCTTTTTAATAATATCGTCGTACGCCCCTTTTCTTCTTTTTTTTCGAAGTGAGATAAAAAATTCAGCTTCCTCGCGCTCTGCAACAAAGGAACGAGTAATAATGTTTACTTTTTAAAAAGCTTATATTACGAATATAATGGTACGAATATAATAGGTTTTTAATGATGAAATCTCAAAATGCAATTTTTTTTTTATCGCGCCTTTCTCTCATCGCTTTATAAGCTTCGTAGCTTTCCCTTTCCACGTGAAACGGGCGATTTACACTTTACAAATCAAAATATAGAAATATATACAAAAGCAAAGTCGCGTTATTAATGTTAATCCTTTGTTTTCGCATTTATATGGAAACGAGTCATATGCTCGCGCGAAGCGGAACAGAGAACACCGCGGTATTTTCTATCCAATTTGGAGGATTGTTAACTCTCTTCATTTCTCCACATCTGCTTCGTGGTGCGTTTATCAACATTAATATTATTTTTAATTTTAATTAAAAATACATAGTCTGGCTGGATTTCTGACAATTGAGAATTCCATTACGCGTCAATCTTTTTCTCGATTAACTATTTCAATATTAATTATTCTCTTTTTCTCACTTTTCCTTAAATCAATATTTTACTTTAAAAATACCCAGTAATTTCATTTAATATAGCTCTATACTTGTTAACTTGTTGATTACAAAGATTTCGAGAGATCTCTTTTATTTTGAAAATCTTGAAAATCTACATAAACCATTTACATTTCTCATATATTAATTATTCCATTCCATTTTCAATTATAACAACAACAACAACAACAATAAAATACCAGTTTCGAGACAAACATCGTATCTAAAAATACCAATCATCTCCATCATTCTAGAACCTCAACCAGAAATCGGATCAAACTTCGAATCGTCAATAAATCCCAAAAAGCGAAAGAAAATCATAAGAGAGAGAGAGAGAGAGAGAGAGAGGAGTGCGTGATCTTCCATCGCGCCACGTATTCCAATCGAAGTCGAGGAAAATAATCACACGGTCGTGATTCGATCCTCGAAGCAGATGTCGGAAACGATCTGCACACGGTACGGTTACGGATTTGCGACTCACGCCTTCGCGACTTCGTGCTCGCCCCATGACGAAATAGATCGGCGACGAAGCGTGGCCGACTATCCCCGTCGCTACTATCCCCGATTTGAATACGATAATAATAGGAAAACGCGTGTCGGGATGATGGCCGCGGATGCACGCAGAATGCAAAGCGACCCCTCGAATTGCATCGTGGTGTCGTGGGACTGGAAATGGATCTCTCACTTCCGCCACCGATCGTTACTCAAAATTTAATACGCGAATTCCCGTTTTCTCCCTTCCTTCCTTCCTTCGTTCCAAGCATTCTGCAAGCTGTAATTTTTTGATATTAAACGATTTTTGTTCGAACTCGTTTCGTTCAAGGCAAGTTTCGTGGAATAATGATATCCTTCTCGTTGAATTTTGATTAATATAGGTTTTAAGGGAGTTTTAAAAAGGAATTTTTTGGAAATTCTTTATAGTATATTTTTGATACTTTGGTAAATATTAATCCTTGTGTTATTAGTGAATACGGTTTTTATTTTTATGAATACTATAATAAAAAGGACAAAGTGTCTTTTGTTAAAGTATTCGAATAATTCGAAAGAAAAGGACTTCGTACAAATTACAAAGAGATTCATCGTTCAGATAACAAGATATTTTGTAAATATTAATTTTAATAACACTTTAATCATTTTTAAAAAATACCATCTTATCTATTTTTTTTCTTTAATCTAATTTTCGAGAAGTAAATTCAAACATTCTTTCGAATTGTAATTTTAATACAACGATCTCTTCTACGCGACTATCCCTTCTTTTTACCCTCTTCAACCATAAAGACGTATTTATTCTCTTTTCAAGCATGTCTTCCCTCAACGAGCGTTCATAAATTCACTGTCAGCATCAAAGCTAGCATCTCTCCTTTAGAATTTCCATCCCGACCCTCCTCCTACGCCGTCGTTCGTGTACATCTTCCGACGTTATCGACGTTATCATCATCCCACATTTTACATCCACTTCACGTGTCTCCGAACGAATCACCGCTACGGACTAATAGTCGAAAAAGATATTCGATCCTTCGAGTATACATTCTCTTCGTCCAATTTTCACATGTGTGTAACAATTCGAAATCTAAATTCACGGAGCATCGTTTGTATATTTGTCATTTGTCGACAGGAGGAAAGACGTCGGACCGGAAGATACGTCGCGGGTGGTGCTGTGCTGGCAATCATGCTTCTGGCCGTGCATCAAGCGCTCCTCAGGGACGCGTCCACCATAGCCGGTGTATGCATACCGGCCATAATAATGATTTCCTACATTATATGGATCTTGTATTCCGCCCATCGGGACAGACGAAAGGTAACCTTTTTTTTTTTAATCGAACAATGGCAGTTACGATCCAACCTCAAACGAGTTCGCCGTTCCTCCTTCCTGGACCAGTGCCAGTGGATTCGTTAAATGTTTTCGATATCTTGGAATATTGGGGCAAAGTTTTTCGGGAGAGCTGGAAATTTTTTTCCGTCTTTGTAGTAAAATTTTCCGATACTTTGTGAATTTCATTGATAAAATTTTCGATAAAATCAGAATGGCCATCTCGAGAAAGAAAATCTTTTCTATCTCTCTGGTTTTTTTTTGTAGAAACTGATAGTACTGCGAACTAGATGCGCGCGAGACTTTTTTAATTAAACGCATAAAGCGAAGCTTTATAAATTTTCGAGCAAATGTTCGCGAAGAATATTAGAAGGGAGGAATAGTTCGAGCTCCTTTTTTCTCGTGATTCTTTTCGTCTCTTTCTCAAGAAAAAAAAAAAAAAAGAAAAGTTTGACGCTTTCTCATAAAGAGACTAGACCGTCATTCAAGCCAAGTAATTTTCTAAAGCGTCTTCCCCATCCTTTCGCCATGCTTCAATTTCCTTGAATTCTTACTTAATCTTCCGTTAATTCTTTCTTTGATCATTTTTACTTGCTTCTTAAGAATCTGTCTTAAGTCCATTAACAAAATATCCTGCTCCTCAAAACGTTCTCCCACGTCTAAGCAATAAATACACGAGATACGCGTTCTTAACGTCGACGTTTAAATTTATTAAAAGTCTTGCAAATCTTTTTTTACCTATCTAATTTCTATTATAATCATTCCTTGCAAAATATCCAATCTTCCTTACATCCAAATATTTATCTACCTACCTATTATATATTATTAACGAATAAATTATTTACTCGATAATTTACCTTTCTAATCCAACTTAATTATTCTATTCCAGAATCATATCCTGCTTTCAAACATTTACCCACATACGTAACACCGGCCATCATCGATGCAATAAACGAACAACATTCCCAACATTCTTAACGTCGTTGCGACCGTTCCAACGAGTCATAATCCACGTTCACTGGCCGAATTTCCGTCCAATTTTCGTGGAAAGTTTCGGGCGATGGACCCCAAACTTCCCTCCCTTCGATGTAATTGAATGGAGGGGGAGGAGGAGGAGGGAGGGAAGCGAAGTTCGGAAATAAATGTCATTTTCGAGGATGCGCAAAAACCGGAGGCAGCAAATCAACGGCAACACGAGCGAGTAACAACCTCGAATTGAACGAAGCTTTTTTTTTTCGCTTTCCGGCTACTTTTAATCTTGTAAATAAGCCACGTGGGATGCAGCGCGCCCCACGGCGCGGAAACTGATAATCGAATTCGACTGGGATCGGCCTCGTTTTTGAAAAATCGGTGTGGAAACCTCGATGTCTCGTGGAAATCGCGATCGAGTCAGATCGATTTACTTGCGATAAATCGTATTCGCCTCAGTGTTATCGGTTGAATATAGATTTTCGCTTGAAAATCTTCCCATTTTCTTTAACTTTACGTCACGTTGCTTGCTTGAGAAACTGGATTTTAATTTAGGAATGAAAATCCGTTGGACTCGATGTAATTTTTCATCGTCGATCTACGTTTTCTCGTGTGGCTCGTATGGGGTGAATTATCTAAATTATTTGCCAAATAGAAATAAATTTTCTTTCCTTGTTAATTAGAGAGTTCGATAAATAAGGATCTTCTGAAATCGTTTTTTACATAATTTAGTTTCTTCTCTAAAAACAAAAATAATTAAGATGATTGTCTCATTAAATTGATAATTTCACGAGAAAAACGCATGAAGGAGAATTCAATTCCAAAAATTTTGTTCCAAAGATTGAAAAATCGACTTCTTTGAAATCTTTTGATTCGATAAAGCGTTATTTTTTGTTTTTATTCGTACAGTGGCGATCGATCGTGTCGATACGCGATCAAATAATCATCGAATACAGAATCGGAATAAAACGTTCAACAAATTTTCCGCAAGATTGTTTCATTGGTAACAATTTTTCGCGTTCATTGAACACAACGAAATTAAAATGTGCTCCATTTGTCCGTTAAAAATAATTTCGTGACTCGATTTGCAATTTTTTCTTTCTTTTTTTGTAATAAGCGATAATTTTCCATCCCATTTTCTGTCGAGCCACGTGGTATTTAACGTAACGTCGCTGAATACAAAAAAGGGGATTATTATCGGTAGATAAAAAAAATGAACAATAAACAAGGAAACTGAAGGGGTATACGGGAAAGTTTGTCTAAACTGGAACAAGGTTAGTTGATAATACGAAACGAGGTTATCTTCTCGTGAACAGGATTCGTGATTTACGATGGGTGAGAATGGCGCCAGTTCCGCAGATTTTCTTTTCGTTAAATACATCCTTGGAAAAATTGCGAAAAATGCAATTTTTTTTTAATTAACTTCCCTCGAACACCCTTCCCAACGGGCTAACTAATCGAATCACATCCACGTTATGCAAGACGACGGAAATTGTAACTTTCTTTCCTGCGACGCAAAAGGATTACCTCAACTCTTTCGCCAAGTTATTGAATTCTCCTGCCCTACTAATAACTTTTAGTCACCATTTTTCTGTGCCACTTTCTTCCTCTTTCTTCCTCGTTTCTACCTCATAGTAAGACTTTCCCAATTTCTATTAATTTTATACGAATTTTGAGAAAGAAATTTAACTTTTTTGCGAATAGAAAATGTAATGCATATTAAATGTTTAGAAAATTGAATACATGCTTCGTAATATAATTCTCGCGAAATTTTAATCACCGAGAAATTTCTGCACTAATTAAAATTTCGAATTTATTAAATGAAGACAATAGTTGATGAAAAATATTTCGTCAAGAATTAATGCGTATCTTTACGAAGTATTTTTGATTACATTAACATAAATTTATGACTTTTTCTATTCGCAATCGTGTAAAATAATAATCACGATTTTTATCATTATGAAACATATATTTCTTAATTGGAAGACAAACCGATTTTTATTACACTTTCCCAAAAAATCAAACCAAACGATATACTATTGATCGAAGAACATCGACTTCTTATTCCATCTTTCTAAAAATACTCAAAACAAGAAACATTATACTATATCCAAAATCTAAAATCTCGCGTGAAAAGAAATTCTCGAGTAACTATTTACAGACGTGCATTTACAAAAAAAAAAAGGTTAAACAACTCGAGAAACAAACTTCAAAAGCGTCAATCCTTCGTTCAATCCTCTCTTCCTCTCAACTCACGAAATACAAATATTCTTCTCCTTTTCAAACTCGAACGCGACTCGACAACTATTCGAATCGACGACAGTCGATTCGCCCTAGTCGATGCATGAGCGCTCCTCTTCTCTTTGTTAGCTTAACAACACACAGTTTCCCGATCGACAATACCTTTGCCCCCGATCTTTTCGTCAAGAGAAGACACACACGATCGAAACAGAACACGAAGGGCTCGAAAAATGTGTAAACAAGTTTGCCAAGTTACATTGCCAACTTGCTTCAACCGACGATTCTGGTTTTCAGGCGTTGAGATTCGCGACAGCGATGCAGCTGACAGAAGTAATCAGCGTGCCACCCAGGTCGAATGGAGAGATCCGCAGAAACGGGGCGAGCAAGGACGAGACACGAAAGTCAAACGGTTCGAAATCAGCCTACAATGTTCGAGAGTCGTCGTCCCGCGAAAATCCTGCCTTCTCTTCCAAAGACGAAGCTGCGTGAGAGGAATCGCTCAACTTTGTCACGTTGGATGTGAAACCAAAACTACTCGATTCTGGTTTTTTATCACGATGAACTTTCCGCCAGAGAAATACCAGTATTTTTTCCTTTTCTGTTATGTTCTAAAACATTTGATATTTTAGATCGTACGATGTAAATTACCGATTTTTGTATTCTCTTTTTCATCCAAAATCTTCCAACAAATGGTTCCAAAATCGAAGAGGATTCGAGTAAGCGGATAATCGATTCGATAGAAATATTTAAACATGTCATAGAAGAATGATGCAAATCCAAAACGATTGTGTATACGAATTGAGAACAAGTTCTTTCCCATCGTATTGTAATTGTTATCGTTTGAAGTTTCCGCGAACGATTTTCATCATTCAATATGTACAACGATTCGACTTTACAATTTTAAATTAATAAACGAAGAGAAAGGCAAAAGCAAGAGTCAAGACAAATATTAAGACGGTAAACTTAGTCTTAAGAGGTTTAAAACGAGATTCGAACGGGATCGAGTCAGCATACTACAATTCTTACCGACTTTAATCGTTCCCCCGAGGCAGAAAGCGAACGAACGAGCTTCGTGCACAACCTAATAACATAATAAATACTTGGTTCGGTTTCGTTTTCGGGGCGGCCCGATTTCCCGCGATAGAATTATTTGTTTAGCCCCGTGGCCGGAATTATTTGTTTCCGCGGCGGTTTGTGATGCAACAACGTTCCCGAACGCACGTTGCCCCTGTTTCCCAGATAAATCTATTTGGCGGGGCAGATAAATCGCGAAAAACGCGACATGTAATACATTTGGAACAATTGTCGCGACAAATTCCATTTTTCGGCCGAAATTTTATCGGGGGAGGCCGATTTTTCCTCCACCGATCTCTCTTCTTTGACGACAAGTTTATTCCAAGTTTATTGTCTCTCGTCCTTGAGATTTCCTTTTTTTTCTTTCTTTCTTTTTTTTTTTAATTTTTCTATTATTTACGAGTTCTCCATGCAACACCATTTGTCGGAAGGTCCACGGTGAATTACGCGGAGATAGAAAGGGTGGAACCATGCCTCCTCGGTTACTTATTAGCCTGTGCGTGGCTCGTAAATCGCGGTTATAAAGAGTTACGCGGAATATTACTTGAAAAATACGAGCTTCGTTTAATATTATGCAACGAGGAACTCGTTATTGCATCATTTTCATACTTCTCGATTATCGTTATTCTTGAGCAAATCGGATAAATCGGAGAATGAACATCTATCAGGTATCAATTGTAATTTTCTTTGTGATTCCTGATAAAAAAATGAGCGAATTAATTGCAATTCTCAGACCTTCATGCGTATAAAGAACAATATGGGGGTCTAACAGATGCGTAAAAATTATCTATTTCTTTTCGACGTTAGAGTTTAAATATTTAGACTGTAAGTTCTTTTCGTAATTCGAAAATAATAATAAAAAAAAAAAAAGAAAATTGGAGAATGTTCTTCGCTTGAGTGTTAATATTTACAGTAGAAGTTCTACTGTGTGCATATAATTTCAATTAATCTTCCTCTTTATCTCTCCCCATCTTTCCACGATTATGTAAATATTTAACCGAAGCCAAATGCAAGGTAAATAAATGCAAGCGGCAAAAGGAAGCTGAAATGCGCAACTGGGATCTCATCTCTACGTAATGCAGACATCATCGAGGAGGGTGTATATAATAATAGCGATACCAGAAGAATTATTTTCCCTCTCTTTATCCATTAATGAGGAATGTATAATCGTATTTTACCTCTTGAAAATGAATTTCACTCCTCCTCTTCAAAAAACCACGGTGCAAACGGAAGAGAACGCGTTAAGCGATAATCAACGAGTTTGAAACGATCCCCGGCAGTCGTTTGTGCGTTTCAATTTCTCCTCGACACCTGAGTAATAATTCTGGAGTACTCTGTTTCGAGTTGAATTATTTGAACGAACGTGTGAAAAGTGAAAAAGGGAACGCAACGAATTGACGGCTTAATAAATTCCACCGTTTGATAAATGACGAGTGTTAATTAAGGAAAAAAGAAAAATATATATATATATAAAGTGAGTTTCCAATTCATTAAAGAAGCTTTCAGTCCTCGCGATTTATTTTTATCGAGTGCGACGTTTCCTTCCTTCCTTCCTTATCTCTCAATTAATTATTTGCAACGCGTTTAATTAAAGGATCTATGAGCGAGTGATACCCAAGGTGAGAAAAAAGGGAATGAAAATAGAAAGGGAAATCGAGGAAAAGAAAAGCAGATTTCAAGGGAAGAGAGATAAAAATTCTTTGCTTTTCTCACGTTTATCTCTTTGCATTCGAATTGTGCACCAACGTTATGCTGTAAATTGCGAATAATAGAGCGAATATATAGTTTTTATTTGAAATCGATCGCGAAAGTTTAATAAATTGTTACACAAAGAATACACGATAAAGGTTATTATGTAATACAAAAGGTATTAAAATTGCAGTTAATTGGAGATTTTTCGAATACCGAAATTACAATAAACCCAGTATTCGACACCTTCGATAATAGATTTTATTTCATTTTTCAATTGGCAAACGTTGTGTACCACTTTGTGTACTTCGACACGTGGTACAGAAATATCCAGAAACTTATTTTCAAATATAACACGTATAACAAAATATGAATATGCGACAACAAAATTGTGCAATATGATAAATCAAAATCTCAATGTTTCTTGTTAACCGTTTTAATTGTCCCAATTTTTGTCCCAAATTTATTCCTTGATAACGATAAAAAAATTATTATAAAACTTGATTTTGATGTATCATCTTATTATAATTATATTTTAATTGTTAAAAAAAAAAGGAATTATTCAAATCGATAGAAGGGAACAATTGGCGAGTGCAGAGGGTTAAATAGAAAGCGTGACGCGTCTGACCGCTAAGGAAACCGCGTTTCGATCGAATCCAGACCAATTTCCACGAATTTACATAGCCCCATAATTCAGCCGCGATCCTATTTCGACGCGATAATTTGATTCGTCCGGCGCGGAGCGCATGATTGTAGCATCCATCTTTCGACGGTCTCGACGCGGAAGGAAACACGTCCATTTCGATACACGAACACAGTGATTAAACGCTCTTTCGTTATCCCTCTCCATCATCCCCGTTTCCCTTCCAAATTCCTACCTATTCTCGCGAGTTGAGAGAGTACAATCGTAATAACGAGAGGAAAACGGAATTGCGGTTCTAAGATAATCTATCTCTAAAAAATTCCGTGTTTTACAATGTCAACAGGAATTCCGTTTCATGAACGGGATAATTTTCAAACAATTTCGACTTTTAATTAAATTATGATATGAAAATATCATGAAATAAATCTGATATCGCGCGTTCAACGTTTCTTCTTATTGCCACTTCTTATTTTCTTCTTATTGATTTAAAATAAGAAGAGATGAATTTTTGGAAATTCAAAAGTAATTTTAAAAATTGCAAGAATAATCACGATCACTTAATGAATTCATAGTCAGAATCAAAAAACAGCAAAAACAATCAAATTCATCGAATTTCGTCACGTCAATCTTTCATAATTATCCGAAGAAAAGATAGTCACTAAAGCTAGTTTATCCGAATAAACGATATTCCATTCGTCAAGCGACTATATTGTAACGACTACGATCGATATTCCATCTAAACACGCGTCGCAATCGTCTCGATCGTAACGCTACAAGTTGACCCGATTACAATTGTCTCGATTCCAACGATCCATTAACCGATAACGACCGTTTTCTTAAACGAAGTATTCGAACTGCGCTCTACAGAGACGATTAAACGATTCTTTGGCCATTGTAACAGGATCGTGATACGATTACCAAGGGGATTCGTAAGTGTTTTCTCGCCGAGCGAGCGATCGATCGTGTCCAAGTTCCGCGGTGTAGGTGTATTGGTTAATTTGGTTTGTTTGTCCCTGGCCAAACAGGGACTTTCTCTATTGATGTGGTAATCAAATTGATAAGGAGAAACAGGGTTGGAAAGGGTTTCTTTTAAACCAGGACAGTGACTCGAAAACTTTGAATTTATTCAAAGGGAAGACCATCGTCCACGAACTCTGGGTTTAACAAGCTAATTCGTGGCGATATATGCTTGGAGAAGAATTTGTTGGCATCGTATTTCCTTGTGAAATTCATCAGAAATCTCAGTCGAGAAACATTTCCATTTTGAATGTCCATCTATCTTCGAAATTGTTAAAAATTATTATTAAACGGTTATCGATGTTTTGAAATTGATTCTTTGGCATGATTGAAAACTCGAAGGAAAACGCCGTTTCATCTTGTGTGATATATGGACCCGTTGGATCTCTCGTTCTATGAAAATCAATAAGAATTTCTGAGATTCTATGCAAGCCTGGCGCCACGAGCATTAGCATAAAAATGAAATTTCAAATAACCATTGAATAACTGTGCCGCACCACTTGCTCGTAATATTCATTTAAAACCGCGATAAGATTTTGTAAGAGAAAAAGAATGGATCGTCCAGGAATCGAATTCTTCCAACCAGAATTTTAATATTTCCAAAATTTAATATTTTATCTACCCATAAATTAATCCAATCGAGAAAAAAGTTGAATTAAAAATCTAAATAATAAAAGATCAATGAGAAGAATTATCAAAGATCAATGCGTTGTATCGTAAATTAGATAGATTATTTGCAAAAACAATAATAATGAAAAAAGAAGACGCTAAAATGTTCGTTTATTTTCTTATCAGAATTACTTAAGCCATCTTGTTGCTTTCACAATCGAATCACTTTCTAAGTAAACAATCACTTAAATGAAGTGTTAGAAATTTAAGATCATTACGCAAAACGAAATTGTGTCCAATTCGAAATTTCAAACGAATTTCTGCCTCGATATTCGATAAATCTAGGCGACTGAATCGCGCTGATTGTAGCCGCCACAGTGCGTGTACCGTGCGCTCGACAAATTTCGCACTCCCTTTGTTGATATCTCCGATGATTAATTACGCATTGAGCCGGCCGCCGATTTGCAATAATTCTGATTTACATGGCTTCCAACTTAACGAGGCACCGATCGAATATTCCTTGTTTTTCCATGAATTGATGCACACGCGTGCATCGATTGGCCTTCGTTCGTTAAACCGAATTATTAATTTCAACTCGACGAGTGTTCGTACCTCGTATTGTTTTGGAAACAGTTATAGATTCGTGTGTGAAAAAAAAGATCGAGTTTGATAATCTTCCTTCGACCACGAGAGAACGGAGTTTTGTTTTCGTCTGTCGCGAAATCGATGGCACGATTATTCTGCCCGAAAGAAAGATTTTTAAATTCTACCATTCTTTTTATTTGTTTCCTGTCTCGCGACAAGAGATCAACGCTTATATTCGAAGCAGAAAATTCATTGTTTCCATTGTGGTGGTGGCGAGCTGCGTACTGCTTCCGGCGAGATTCCAAGAATATATTTGTTAACGCCAGACGTTCGTGGAATCATTTGTTTGGCAACGAGATTGCGCCTATTATTCATTTAATGAAAATTTATGTAAAGTATGTAAAATTCGAATTGATGTGTGAGCCAAAGCGAGAGATCCAAAGTGTTGGAAAAAAATATGAAAGTCTGGAAAAATCTTTTAACTTCTCTTGAATGTGGCATTGTCTACGCTAGCAACATTATGGAGGAATAAGCGTTCTCAGTTATTTGGAATATTGGAATTAAAAAAGGATTTCGAAAAGAGACTCTGCTTTTGTCTAATGGCTCTAATTCTTTGTATATCGAAGCATAATCGTGTTAAATAATTTATGATTAAATGGAAATTTATGAATGGAAATAGCATTATTCATTTTTCAATAAACATATATTTAATAATATAACATTGTTAACCATCTGTTTAACCATCTCAAAGCAAAGATTAAATTTCTCATTATATCTCTCGAAAATAAACG